CTGGGGTTTCTTCACCTGTCTTCATCACTTAAAACAGCAATAGCACACAATTTGATGTGTCATAAATATCCATAGCATTGTGCTTAAACAAACATGCATTCTCAATCCAACAATCTTGATCTGAAAATAGAGCTTTAAAGTTGATTCTGTGAGACACTCCTAGCTTTACAGCCAATGGGCTCACCTGTTTCCATTCATTTGGCTCTTTCTCACTCTCTGTACTTATTAACTTCATGGGAATGGGCTATAATCCCTGCTGCTATGGGAACTATGCTGTCTGGCTATCACCCGCTACATAGCAAGGTGCTAATGTGATTACATCTGGATCCGGATCGCACAGAAGGGTAACCATGACTGGGTTACATTTCACACAAACATGCTTCAACTCTCAAATGCCATCTGTAAAATATGATAATTCTTAAATATAATGGTATATCTCAAAAATTTAATTTTTTAATCTAAAACTTTTACATTCACCAAGCCTGCATTTAATTAATCAAAATACAGTAAATATTAATAAATATTACAATTTACAATAACTATTTTCTATTTTAATGTTTTAAAATGCAATTTATTCCTGTGATGGAAAAGCCGAATTTTCAGCAGCCATTACTCCAGTCTTCAGTGTCCTTCAGAAATCATTCTAATATGCTGATTTGGTCTTGTTATTGTCAACAGTTTAATATTATCAAACTGTTTAATAAAAATAGTTAAAAAAAAAAAATTTGTATGCAAACTGTGATGCATTTTTTTAAGATTCTTTGATTAATTGAAAGTTCAAAAGAACAGAATCATCTATTTTAAACAATTTTTTAACATTATAAACGTCTTTACTGTCATATTGGAACAATTTAATGCATCCTTGCTGAATAAAATCACCAATTTCTTTAAAGAAACCTTACTGACCCAAAATGTTTGTGCAGTAGTGTATTTACACACACACACATTACATATACACTATATATCCTAATTAATCAAACATCAAAGCACATTTGACTGTATCATGCAGTTTAATAAAATTCTTTAAATTAATAATTTGAATGAATGTGTGTGAGAGTGAAGAAGTGTAGTAGAGAAAGCAGGCTTCCACTCTTCATTTGCACATAGTAACTGATAACAGCTGGATGTAGGATCATTTTAATACTTCAATTCTACAGCAATAAAATATTTGATTGTGGGATTTCTAGGTACAGCAAAAGGGACATGTGATTATAGATGATAATAACTAGGGATCACCTATAGTGAAAGCATTCTTCTACAACCATACTAATGCAAACAGGCCACTGAAAACCAGCCTGTTAAGATTTGAAAATGAATATGCAGCTTTTCACATCCTTAGTACTTAGTATCCGTACAAAATTATGAAATAAATACACATTTAAACAGTTATAAACACAACAGAAGTCAACAAAAATTCTCCTGTATTGAACACAATAGAGTTTTTGTTACATCAGACTGTGCTTCAAGTGTCTGGGGGTCTCTTCTAATCTGCCTGGCTTAGATCCTAATTATCATTAACAAAAACCCAATAATGACATACACTCTCATTAGTAAGAGAAGTGCAGTGGACCACAGGAAATGAGAACCAAGATTTACGCCCACATCTTTCAATAGCCACATTAAGACATTAAAGATCCCTGCGATGGAAACCTCTATTTTGGTTTAGAAAGCTTCCGTACAGTACAGAAAGAACCTGTGTAAGTCCCTGCTGATGAAAATGTACTTTCTGCAACCAAATTGGCAACGTGTGAACTCAATGTGGGAAGACTTAAGGGTGGATGTTTGCTGTGTGTTACTGAGCACTCAAGGGTGTGTTTGGATTTTATAGTGCATATTTAAACATGTAAACCATGTTTGTTTGTGCCTTTACTTTATAAGAAGTACACATTTTGAGTCTCACCACCAGAATGGCAGATAACACAGCTATGCAGCTGCTTGGTTCTCACATGGTGGGGTTTGTATACAATACGTGGACTCATTCAGGGATCTGCTGCAGAGATAAGCTGTCGCTCTCAATGTGCGCTCTGCAAATCATCATTGTGGCAACAACAAGCTGTTTCCAGATCTCTGTAGAGCCTTAGATCCTCACGTTCCCCTGAGACAGCAAGCGCAGGGTCCAATTCTGCGGTTACCACAGCAACGCAGCTAACCTTTTCTCAATCCACTCCATCACCTCTGAAGAGAGCAATGCAGCACTCAGACACCTCACATTACCCAAACACTTCTTATGTAAGTGCATTACGAAGTGAGCTGTGGTCAGAACTGCAGCGTAATGGAAAGAGAATGTTCCCCATATGTGAAACAGCAGGGTTAATTTCTTACATCTCTTTTACCCTGTGCTTTATGAGGAACAGGGTTAAGGTGGCATTTTAAGGTTCGGATTTCAAGTTTTTTCAGATTGGTATGCTATGTGCACAAACTAAATAGCCTGTTTTCCAGCCTACCACTTGATTATACCAAAGCAGCTTCAAAAGGCTGCAATTAACAGAACTTACAAATCAAAATAAAAGAAGGCTCAGGACATAGCCCTGTTGTACCTCAAACCTTACACATAAACGCAAAACATTTCCTTGTTCTGAGTGAGTTGTATGACTATAGGACAAGTTTGAATAAGCATAACAAAATACACTCCTTGGGTATAGAGATTAACCAGGAACATTTTCTTCAAGGAAAATGTCTTTGCAGCACAATGATTGGTTGAATACCCCTGCCATTGTGATCGGCTGTTACTGTAAAAAAAACCTGAAATGAAATAAAATATAAATATTAAATAAAACATAAATAAATAAATCAATTAGAAAATGTTGACTCGACAAATGACCTAACTGAAATAAATTTTAAGCTGAAGTGCCAAAATTACTGCAACTAAAATTAAAATGTAAACTGAAAGCATAAAAATAAAAGTTAATTCAAAATATTAATAAACACTATAATAGCATATAAATACTACTAAAATAACACTGAATGTGATAGTCCAAAAATCAACCTGATTTCGTCAAACTGGTGAGAAAAAGGCTAAATTAAAGATGAACATCAGTGACTGCAACTTTCATGACAGTGAAAACCTTTACGGAAAAGAATGTAATTATTAATAATAAAAACAAATAATAATATTAATTAAAATAATAAATAACAATATTATTAAAATAATACTACTACTACTAGTACTACTACTACTACTACTACTACTAATAATAACAAATAATATTAAAAAACAAAACAAAATAAAACATAACAGCCGGTATGAATGCATAAAAAGATTATTATGAAAATTAACATCACTCTGTTACAGATATCATAGCATAGCATTTATGAAATGATGATATTTTCCATAAATGCGCCTCAAACAAGCAGCAGACCAATTGGGCTTTGCTTTTTATAAACAGTCTACAGGTTGCGTTGTTCACCTGTGTGAAACAAGCTTGATTATCCACACATGGTCTGGTCACCATCTGTGAAATGACTGCATGGCTAGCGGCTCTAACCACAGTTCTGTCTTTCTGTGTGAAATATGACATGCTATTCTGTGGCGATCAGATCAACAGCCTGAGGGGGGAGTTCAATGTGGCAGCTTTTTTGAAGTCACACGCTAGAGAACAACAAACAATCTACTTTACAATGGAAAACATGCATAAACATGTTTAGGCACTGGGACATGAGATAAGAGAGAGAAAGAGAAAGACTAATCAGCCTCTGGACTTGTTACAGAACACTGAAAACCCCTAGAGCAATATTGCAGGTAAGAAAGGATTATATTAGCACATATACAGTATATAAGAATATTTTAATCTTTCTTGTTTGATGACCCATACTGTTTTATCCAGCAACCGGATATACTAAAGGTGCTCATTGTGCAGATGTGTGTCAATGAGAAAGCGATTGTGATAGTGTCCTACCAGTGTCCAGCTGTTGTCATTCCCACAGGGGTCTGAAAAAGAAGCTTGGACAGATAATCTCTGCTCGTGTTCTCCATAATTACTGCACTCACATCCCAAAATTCAGTTCACACTGCCCACTATGAAACTCTTAGACTATTACAATGAACATTTGAGCCATCAATCAGACACTGACTCGATGAGCATAGAAAATAAATAAAATATATGGATTTCCTTCAGTCATATTTCCAATAAAGTGCAAATGGGTCACCAGATGCTGAATAAGAGCGGTATGGATCAAAAAAAATTTAATTCTAATTTCTAAAAACTTGTAAAATCTAAAAACTGTGGTACAGTTGTGTGATTGTCAATTATTGCATGATCTAAAATTAGTTTTAGTAAAAAATAAATAAATAAATAAAATGTTAAAAAATGCAGTAGGCCTAATAACTTCCACTAAAGCTAAAATTAAGGAGCTAAAGTTTATCTAAAAGTCACGCTGTCCCTCCTACATTAAAGATATATAAATAAAATTAAAATGTACATGTACATGTATCTACAAGACACTGTATTTCAATAATGAATATGTTAATGTGCAATGTAAGCATCATATTAAAAGCATGCAAATACATGATGATAGCTACTATAAACCAGACTTAAAATGCAACACTCAGTTTTATGCAACTGTATATAATCTCTATGTCCATCAAGGGGTCCTTGACCTTACAACAATTTTTAACAACACTTTAATAGGAGAGGGAAAGAGCCACAAGGAAATTCCATTACATTTTCCTTTCCTCCTTCATGTTTGTTTCTCCACTTTTTCAACCGGATTAGGGTTAATAGACCGCGTGAATCCTGTTTATTCTGGCAAAAATCATCTAGAAAAGTGTAGTAAAGAATAACCCACATATATATAAACGAAAGAAATTCAAAAATATAAATATTCAAACTCAAATTCAGCTTTGGAATCAACGATGTACAATTTGAACCACTTTAAACAGTGTTCTCACATCACATACTATGAAATACATAACAAATGTTTAAAAACAAATGGCCTATAATAAATAAAAGCTCACAAACGCTGCTGAGCCATTACCATATGTCAGACAGACAGACTCTTACCCGGCATACTCGCACCGACGGCGGCGAGGATTACGCAGATCAAGACCCCGGGCAGGAGGAGGGAGGCCCGGACTCGCCGTGCGCTCCGGCTCGGGCAAAACAACATCCTTCACTGCGCTTCTCAAGTCCAAGACAGCAGATAAAAGCTCCGGAGTGTCATTCCCATATCTGTGTGGGTCGGATGGACGTACACTACCGAGAAAGACAACCTGTCCCGAATAAAGATGGGAGAGTCGACTCAAGAAGAGCGTTAAACTGCTGCCTGTGTGGTACAGAGCTAAAGATAGAGGAGAGAGATTGCGGCGGCAGGAGGAGGAGGACCTCCGTTGATAAAACACGCTACAGGAGAGATTACAACAGCTACATGCAGCAGCTGGAGGATGAATGAGCTCGTGACGCAATGACGCTGAACGTGGGTGCTTCTTCTCTCGGGTGAGGGAACATTCTGTTAACAAAACAAAAGATGTTTAAGTTTTAAGTAAATACTTATTTGTTCCGGGAAAAAAACAATTTATTTGATAATAAAAAAGAATAGCAGAGCATGTTATCAAACTGTAAGTTGTCACAGTGGGGAACTTGCCATTAAAGCAGCACTATGTAACTTTTTCTGTGTTCAACATTTGCTACATGTATATAATGAGCTAGTACGTCATGAATTCATCTTCCAAACCGCGTTTTTGTCTTATTCCGAATCACTATGGTACACTTATAATAAGTACTTATATTTGGACTATTGTAGCCTGGTCGGGTCGTCACCGCTGCGGAGTAACACATACCTGCGTGAATCGCCATAGACATAAACTTAGAGAAGTAGCTCCGGTTGGAATGTTCTTCCGCGGGGCGTGTGCAGTTCTGTTTATTAACCGCGAGAGCGCCAAAAGTTACATAGTGCTGCTTTAAAGGAATAATTCACCCAAAAATGAACATTTACTCACCTTCAGGCCATACAAGATGTAGATGAGTTTGTGTCTTCATCAAAAGAGATTTGGAGAAATGTAGCATTAGGCTACATCACTTGCTCATCAATTGATCCTCTGCAGTGAATGGGTGCAGTCAGAATGAGAGTCCAAACGACTGATAAAAACATCACAATAATCTACAATTAAACCACACGACTCCAGTCAATCAATTAACATCTTGTGAAGTGAAAATCTGTATGTTTGTAAGAAACAAATCCATTATTAAGACATTTGATTATTATTCTGTTTATCAGCTGTTTGAACTCATTCTGATGGCACCCATTCACTACAGAGAATCCATTAGTGAGTTAGTTATGTAATGCTAAATTTCTCCAAATCTGTTCTGATGAAGAAACAAACTCATCTTCATCTTGGATGGCCTGAAAGTAAATGTTCATTTTTGGGTGAACTATTCCTTTAATGGCCTCTTACAGTCTTTTCAGTAAAATGTAAAAATGTTCAATAAAATATAGACTGTTCAATTGCAAATATGTACAAAAGTATAAAATCCTTGTTTTGGAAGAAAGAAATTGTGCAATAAATAATGAACCGTCTTAAAATGACAAAGTATAAAACACATGGTAGCTTGCCCCAATCTGACATTCACGATAAATACTCTTGTGAGAAAACAGTTCAACCTTATTGTTGGCTCTAAAATGAATGTCAGTGTGGTGTTATTGTGTTCAGCTATAGCATAAATATGATATTGGAATTTTAGCTTGGAAATATAAAGACAGTTTTGAATTAATTTCAAAATTAATAACTAGAAAAACACTTTTGTCTAATTGGGTTTTTCAGTTCTTTAACATTAGTTAGTGAAATATTACATAAAATATTGCATATAATGTGCAACCTGAGGCATATACATTTATTTGAGTAATTTACTGTATTAGACTCATAAATAAATGAAGAGTAGGAAAATGAACAGATAAAATAACATGGGAATTCAGATGTCATGTTTATGAAATTTAAAATTCATGCTTATAGTGGCATCTAGTGGCCAAAGTTACCACATGCAAACTGTTTGTTTTCTTCCTCATGCATTGCTCCTTGAGGACATTTTTTTAAAGATAAATAAACAAACAAGCAAACAAACAAATACATACATACATAAATGTACAGGCACAAAGACATTTTTCCTGCATTATTTATTGAGCATTATTTTTTTGCTCCCAATCTAGTGTGTCCAGGGCTGTTGCCAAGGTCCTTGCCCGAGTATAGAGACAATAAATAAGTATTAAATGCTGTAAAGTTTTTTTTTTTAGCACCATCATATTCAGAGATCCACAACCTTCAAGACTCAAATGTAACACTTATAGTGAGACTTGCAATTGTTTTGAGAAGTAGATACCTCAGTTCTGAGGGACCTTTTCAAATTGCTTGGGTTCATGGTACGTGGCCTGGATGGCGGGAATTTATACATAGGACGGGCCACTGCAAACCAAAGAGATTCAAAACAAAACAGACATGAAAACGTACAAGTTGCATGAACTTATTTTGATACCTCACCTCAGTGAGGTTAAAACTGATGACATACTGTCCTGAGACATACAGTTTACTGTATAAGGAGATCTGTGCCGCTTGCTTACCTGTAAATGGATCGAGTCCTGGGACGGAAAGCAAGGCAGGATGTGCATAGGAGGCAAGAGACTTTTCTACAGGGCTTTCTATGGTCAGTTTTGGTAGTCTCAACTGCAAAAGCATGATGCCAGAAACAAAATCAATGCTTCAATACAGGTATTAAACTGTGACATTCGCATTTTTACCACCAAAGTGGGACCTGTGAGTGTTTCAAGATACCTCTGTTTTGCATGAGCAAGATGTTAGATGTCTGGATGGTCGGAATTTGGCCAAAAAAGGAAGAGCCACTACAAACCATATGGATTGAAGACAAAAAGGAAATGAATTGTTAGCACCAGTGCAACTCTAACTTCTGAAGAGGCATACAAAAGAAATAAAAAAATCTATGAATATGCTATGATATCTAACAGAGTGATGTTACAATTAAACGTTATAGTGCTGAGATATATGTAAGGAGATTTGGATCACACTCACCTCTGGGTTGATCCAGACTCAGGAAAGAAGGTCCAGTAGGGGGCGCAGTGGAGGCCTGTAACCCTCTGTTGACAGTTTTTGGTAGCGTCAACTGCAAAAGCACAATGCTATTCTAAGAGGATTTGCTCAAAACATATTTCAGTATATAAACGATATAAATTTGATGGCCTATTTCAGTAAATACTTTTCAAGTTCAACTTTTAGACTAACAGCGTTAAAACCATCTTGAAACAATTAATTATCCCGACTAATATGTGAGAGACATTTTTCTTACCTTTTCCTTGTGACAACTTCTCTCCACATCAGGCCTTTTGTAAGCTAAAACAATAATAATAATTAAAAAAAAAAAGTTTAAATTGTAACATGGCCCTTAAAAAACAGGAAAATGAAAAACAAAAAACTTACCGGGAGTTCTGATACTAACTCCTTGGCAAATCATTCCTCTGAAAGTAACATTTGAAAAACATTTAATAGAGTCGAGAGATGTAGTTGATGGACTCGTTTGCAAGTAGCTATGCTTTCGATCAAAGTTATCAACATACCGTATATGATAGATAGATAGATAGATAGATAGATAGATATTGATATCTTTATCATCAACTCAATTTTAAGAAGACACTTACCTGAACTTACGACTTTCTCTTAAAGCAAAATGTATTGATGCTGTTGGTGTATTTGAGTAAAAGTAAGACTTAAAAAGACAAAATCTTCAAAATGAGAATCTTCAGAAAGACACTGTGTTAAATGAGTTATGTATGACGCCACAATAACTGAATACGTCACCTCAGTGAAAAAAAAATCTATTCGAAATCACCAAGGAAAAGAAAACAATTGATTTATTAATTCCTGTTCGTGTTATTTATTTTGTTATAATTCATATATGTAATTCTTGAATATAATTTTTTAAATAATAATTATATATATATATATATATATATAGCCTATATAAATATATAATTTAAAACCTATATCGCAGCAAAAAGGAGACGATCTAGGGTCATAAACTTGATTTTAATGGCAAGTATCAACATTTCATCAGTCAATACAAAACAGCTAAAAAAAAGACGCTATAAAAATCTTGTTCTGTCACAGCAACAAAATATTACATCACTTTGGCCCTCAAGAAATGCTTCAGCTGAACCTTATGACAAGCATCTTCATCTCAAGTTAATGTATAGAAAATATCTTAAATAAATATAATTCCATCTAATCTAGATTATGCCCACATTTAAGTGAATCAATCATAAGCCCTTTGTGAAACAAGAGGTACACAGATTGACATCCTTTTGAGAACAGCCATCAGTGACAAAATACAAGGTGTACATTATAATTAAAACTTGAAATGGAAAGGTCTGGGGCTGATATAACCGTTCTCTGCATGCTATAAAGCGACAGATTGTATTAAACACTTGAGCTACATTATGGCTGTGACACTCAATGCAAAAGCTAGTCTAATAACATTGATGCATTTGAAATTCTCAGATGATATGTAGAAAGCGATGAATCTAGTGTAAGCAGCACCTCTAGTGTGATGGTGAAGCTGTGCAAGTGACAAAGGAGGCAGTCAAAAATTGCAAATTTAGACAAATCTAAATATATACGACTCATTTTCATCATCACCCTGACTGCAGAAATGGGTTTGTCATGGCACAAAAACATATTTATCACTATTTAATCTGCATGTGTCCTGGGCCTTCATGACAGACGCATGTTTTTGGTAGAGGAAAGGGCAACTCCCTCAAAAACGCCCCTTGACCAGTCACTGCATGAAAGCGAGATGAATGCATTGGCTGCAAATATGCACACACATACACAAATATTTAGTATTGGCACATGATGAAATGCACAGAGTCTGTGACATAATGATAAAGGCCACCGTACATGCCTTACACACACACATGCAAACATGTTCAAGTCAGATCATTGATTTCCCTGATGTTTCTGTATCTAAAACATGTTAAACTATATTTTACTGGTCCATTCTCCCTCATTTAAACACTGTTTTTTGGGTTTGGTCATAGGAGCCCTGTGTTAAGGATGTCCTTAAAACTTCAAGCCACTTACACTTTAAGAATGCATTATATAATGAAAAAAAAAAAACTCACAGGACTGAGAACCAGTGATCCACAGTGAAAGAAAAAGAAAGAAAAACATTCAAATAAAGTCGGATCCACATAAAGTGGCGTGAGAGAATCTTGTACACCTCCTTAATACCCAAAACCGATGCTTTTCAATTGTAGACAATTGAGAATAATCTATTGCAACTACCACGATATCAGAGAGACAGGAGCTTCACGCGTCGTACCATCTCACTCTGTGCAGATCAATATAGTTCCAACTATGCTTAACATGGGAGGACTTGTGATCCCCCTGTGAGGAGCTCAGATGGTACGGTCT